ATTCTCTATCAAATAAATAAATAAAAATTTTAAAAAACATTGCAGAGTACACAAATAGTTTTGAGGGGGTTAGCTGTATTGAAAATATTTTATTTCTAGGAAAAAAAAAACCTGATTCAGACTGGAGGTAGTGACTCTGCCTACAGTTCTAGTATTTGGGAGGCTGGGAAAGGAGCACTGCTGTGAATTCAAGACCAGCCTGGGCTATGTACTAAGTTCAAAGTCAGCCTGAACTACAGAGTAAGACTGTCTAGAACAAACAATCAAAAACAAAACAAAACTACTTCATGTAGTTAAGGCACAATGTTAAGATTTCTTAGAACTAAGTGGTGAGCACATGACTATTATGTTTGATAAAGTTCTCTCTACTTTCTATTGGAAATATTACATAATATGCAAGAACATTATTCAACTCAAGTTCTACATTTACAGAAACCACTAACGACCCTAGAGATAGAGATAGAAAAAGTGTGCCTCATTTAAACTCTGCTTTCATGCCACTAACTGTGAAACATCCTGGAAAGAAAACATTAAGTAACACTAGGAATCTATCAGTAAGACAGAATCTCCTTCAGGGGAAGGTCATAAAGAAGGAAAATGAGCTAGGCATGGGGGTGAATGACTGTGATTCCAGCAGCCGAGAGGCTGAGGCAAGACCTCAAGTTCCATGCAAGCTTGAGCTAGAGAGCAAGTTCAAGGCTGCCCTGAGAATGAGAGAAATTGGGGAGTGGGGGAAGAGGGAGAAAGGGAGAGAGAATCGAGGGAGGAGAGAGGGAGAAGAAAGGGAAATGATAAGAGAGAACACACTAGCTTGGAGAAATATGCAGAGGAAAGTGCCCCAGGGTCCTGAATTTGCTTTGATTCCCCTCCCCTCATTTTCATCATTTCCTTTCTTGCTGAGCATTCATAGAATGACAGCCTTGGGAAATTACAAGGTGCTGAGGTGGATGATATCTTACCTCCTTGAAAGAAAAAAAAAATCATTCTAGAGATAACAAAATACCATGGAAACAGCAAGGACTATAACTGGGTGAAGTTGAAAAAAAATCACATATTCTCTGTAAGTCTCTTTCCTCATCTGTTTGTTATAAAGAATCAATGAAGTAACATATGTAAAATACCTAACAGGAGCTGAGGTTATAGCTCAGTGGTGGAGCTCTTGCCTAGCATGTGCAAAGCCCTGGATTTCATCCCAAGCACTGCAAATAAATAAATAAATCACTACATATAAAATGCCTGATAGGGCCTGTGAGATAGCTCAGCAGTCTAAAGTGCCTGCTTAGGCAAGCTTAGGCAAGCACAGGGACAGAGGTTCATTCCCTGATACCACATGCCATGCTAGCCCCACCCTCAGGGTGGGCTAAGCTGACCACAAGAAAAAAATTTTCCTTAAATTTATTTTTTTTTATTTTTGGTGGAACCAGGGATTGAACTTGCCAGGGAAGCACTTATTCCACTGAGCCATCTCCCCGGCCCCATCTTTAAATTTAAAAAATAAAATAAAATACTTGACAGGTAGGGTGACAGGGGTTCCTTTCCATATGGAAAGAAAGGTGATGGTCAGAATTTTGCTGGCCAATTAAGTAGTAGTTTATAGAAGATAATATCATTTTGTGTACATTTTAGCTAAGTAGTTATTTGAAGTACTATTAACTGCTTATTGCTAACTCACAATTAGCAATAGTCAATGAAAGTCTATTTCACAGACTTTGACCAATCATAAGCAGTATAGTTCTCTGCATTTTGCTCTGATGTTGTCCTTAATAGTGTTTTATAATTATCATAAATAAAGATAACAGCCAATGATGGTTTAGTTAACTGATTTTGCAAGCACTATTTATATTAATTCCCTGGCATGGTGCAGTTTGCATAATGGCTGAACCTGTATTAATAAGCTTCCTCTTTCTGAATTCTGCTGCTCAGTACAAAGCTGAGAGGCTACAAAAAGTTGCTAACTTAAAACGCGGGTATTGTTCTTCTAACAAAAGCAACATTGTAACAATTAAACTCTATTTTAATTGAAAACTCCATTTCTATTCTCTTTCCTGCCTCTCTCTTTTGTTTCTATATGAACAACTATATGTGTGTGTAACACATTCATACCACTTCTATTTCCACCCCACCCCCCACCCCCTGAGGGAGGTGTAGTTTAAGCCTTCATTGTGAATGCTTTGTGAATGAATTCATTCTGCACTCTGTAGAAATTGTTAGAGGACAGCATTGGGCCTTCCCATAATAAGTATCCACAGAAGCTCTTTGCTGTCATGCAGACCTGTATGCTAGCAACCAACCTTCTGGAAGAACAGAAATGAACCCCTCTATGTTCACATTATTGGCTGATGAACCAGTGGTACCTAAAGAAGAACTCCCACATTTTCAGGCCCTATGAGTTTGGACTGGAAAAGAAATAATAGAAAAGGAGCAGCCCAAAAAAGGACCCGATCCCATGGAAATACCAGTAATCTTTCAGCTCAGTGATCTGGAGGTAGAGACCATCTCGCTCCTTACTCCTGGGGTGATGGCTAATGAGAGGCTTACCTACTTCCTCATACTTAGGCCAGCACTAAACCCTACCCCAACACAGACATTTAAGAGAGAAAGGAAGGCTTCCTCTTGTACAAGTTGGATATGTTCAAACAAAGAAAAAGAGCAGAGGCAGCACCCAGAAGGAGAACTTGTCTTATAGGAAACAGGAGCAGAGACCAAGACTGAAGTAGATGCTGGGTCTGTGCAGGGAGTTCCCTCACCAAGATTGTGCAACAAAGTGAAAGGTAAAACGCTGGGTGTGTTTTAGTCAGCTACAAGAAGCACACCTGGACCTGGTTTGCTGGGAAGCTTTTACATTTATACTGCTCAGTTTCTTTGGGGTTTTATTTTGTTTTCTGTAATTTGGGTCTATGATTGTGAATAGGTACTTAATTATAATTCACCATGAAATAAATGTGATATTATTACAGAGACCTCCTGGAGTTAGCAGTTCTTGAGAGTGACTTACTATTGTTGTTACCACTACTTTTGGGTAAATGAGCAATTAAAATGTTAAAAAGAACCCCTGGAGTTAGAGGTGAAACTGAATGTTCCTAAGGACTGACTGGTTGTAAAATCTGCACTTTGTCACCTTCTGTGAGAGACTATTTGAACAAGGTATACTGAGAAGAGAACTGTGTGGCACACAGGCAAAAAGATCTGGGTCTTTGCTCAGTTTTTCTCTGAAGATCATTTACAAAACATTTAACAAATCTACGACTGGAAGATAGTGGTATCCACATGATAGACAAAAGACAAAATGATTGTTTTGAACATTCTGGTGTTCTTCTAATCTATTTTTTCTTCTTAGTGTGATGATAGAACCATGAATACCACAGGAAAGAGCAAAATAACAGTGTAGATAGCCACAGGCTCCGACAAAAAGCACTCTTATTCTCTTAGTGTAAGTACTAATATGGGCTTTACAAGTAGAAAACACTGCTGACTTTATTTTTCTTCCGTGACACCACAAAAATATAAGGAGTTTAGTTTTAAAACTTAATCCCACTTTCCCCATAGGAAGACACTGAAGAAAGGCTAGTGAATTTTTTCATTACTTACTCACTGCTCCATTTTTTTTTGACATTCATCTGTATATCTTTTTTTTGTTAAGTTCCACTATTTGAATATTATAGGTGTGTACTGCTCCATTTTTATTACAGCATTTATTTTCATTTTATTTAATGGAAGTGTGGACTTAGTAAAAATATCGTGCATAAACTTGAGGTGAATAAGTGATTTGAAATATTTTTTTCTGCAAATGAAAGGGCCGGCCTAATAGCTCAGTGGATTAAAGTGCCTGGGCTGGGGTTCAATTCCCTGGGCCTGCCGTGCTGGCCCCACTCCCGGGGCCCACTGAGAGGGCAATTGAGACTGGGCGTGCTGGTGCACACCTGTAAACCCAGCTCTTAGGAGGTGTAAACAGATGGATCACTATGAGTCCGATCTAGTAGTGAGAGCCTGAACAACCTTTAGACCCTTCCCTAAAATACAAAAAAAAAAAAAAAGAATGCAAATGAAAAGCCAATGGTAGATTTGGGGGACTTTCTTGGCTTTTCCTTTGCCTTAACTGACTCCTTCTGCAGTATTGTAAACCTGGTAAGGTAAACATGTCACTCCTCATAAATGAGCACACCTGGCTTCCAGACTGGTAAGATAGTTATTTCCCTTTTGCATGATACTCTCTAAAAGAAACAGTATAAGGAAAAAGGAAAACAGATCAAAAATAAACATTCTCCCCCCCTTTGTGCTTTCAACTTGAAAAGAAATTTATCCTTTGTAGCTCAGTCAGTGGGTGGTGGGAAAAATCAGTTGAGTGGCCGTTACTGTGTATCCATAACTGCAGGTGCAGCCTCCTTTCTTTACTGGACCACTTGGTTACAGACCCCAGTGGGACAGTGTTTGAGAAATTACACTCACTGTCTAGGAAACTGGGAACTGAAAGTCCAATATTTGCCTCAGTGGAGATTTGGCACCTGCTTTATCCCTTCTGGGAATATCAGGGGCCAACAGCTGCACAGAGCTTATGCTGTTCACAGTGCATGTGTCATGAAGGGTGAATAGTGTAAAGCTGTCTCTTGATGTTACCAAGCACACAGAAGCATGTAAGTCAACACACCAAGCCCTCTACTGCTTTCTACATAAACCCAATTTTTGTCACCTCACAATGTACAATCAGTCCCGCCAGTACAATGTACATCTGTTATACCTGAAAATTAACAGACCTGGGGACTGTTGAAGGAGAATGTCAAGGTAAGGATAGGGCTTTTTAAAGTAGCATTGGGCCAGGGAGATGGCTCAGTGGAATAAACGCTTCTCTGGCAAATGCAAGGGCCTGAGTTCAATCCCTGGTTCCGAAAAAAAAAAAAAGTAGCATTGCACATTTTTGTTCCATCTTAAATAGATAGCTAGGCTGAGGGGGAACAGCAGGTATGGGTAGTGTGCTGAACCTCAAGACCTTTCATTATCAACAGAACACAAGTGAGCTTCACACAGAAGAGGCAATGGCTGCCGTGATACTGGAAAGCATCTTTCTGAAACGCTCCCAGCAAAAGAAGAAAACATCACCTTTAAACTTTAAGAAGCGCCTCTTTCTTCTGACTATGAACAAACTTTCCTACTATGAATATGATTTTGAACGTGGGGTAAGTCTTCCAGCTGTGAAGCCTAAGTTTCAAGATTTGAAGAGGTGGGCCTTACACCTTCTTTGGGAGAAAGGTACATCTTTCTAGGTAGGAGAAAGGACACAGACTAGATCCATATTCAAATAAGCAAAATATTTCCTAGCCTACAGCCATTCTGGGGCAAAAATTTAATGGTACTAAGAAGTCTCAGGGGAAGTCTTGCTATGGAATCTTAGAAGTGGAGAGTACTCAATAAATGATTGTTGGAGAACAAAATCCAACAGTTGGAAGTTGCTTCTTATTTCTAATGACAAAGACACACATAGTCATTTAGTCTTCCATAGTACTTTTCCTCCCTTTGGTAGTCAAAGTTTAGAATAATAAATCTGGAAGTGTTTGTCTTTTTTTCAAAATGACAGATCCTAATGCAACACATAGGTGCCACTTCAGCATGTTGAATGATTAGATAAAAAAATGTAATCATGTGGTTGCTTTATCACTTATAATCTTTCTCCATTTTCTTACTCATTCTCTTTTTCAGAGGAGAGGCAGCAAGAAAGGTTCAATAGATGTTGAGAAGATTACCTGCGTTGAAACAGTAGCTCCTGAAAAAAATCCTCCTCCTGAAAGACAGATTCCAGTAAGAAAAAACCAGTATGGGAGAGGGGGAGCTGTGGACATTAAGAAACTTGGGTCTTTTAAATTTGCAAATAGACTGCTGATGCTGTGCAATATGGAACATAGTCATGTTCCCTCGGAAAAGACTTTACTTTGCCTTGGATTGTTTACTGAGCCTCAGCGTCTTTCTTCCACACATAGAACATCTCCTTTAACCTAGAAACCTTTAAGACACTGGTTTTAAAATAATGCCATAGCAAGCTCTCAAAATGGGCAGAGGTGATGTGTTTTAATTTCTGATCTAATTTTGGAACTTAGATAATGCTGGATGTCAGAATTCTAGGGTTCTAAATCACATGAGATTCTTTATTTTTTTTAAGGAGGAGAGGTTTGTTTTGGCTTACATTTCAGTCATTTGACTCCAAGGTAGGGCAGCAGGACATGGAGCATGACAGAGGAATAGCTACTCGTGGTACACAGACCTCCCTGAGTGTGAAGCCAGGAGGTGGGCAGGAAGCTAAATGGTTCCAGGTCATGCCCATGTGATCCTTTAATATCTCACTGTTTACTCTCCTCTCACTTCCTGGAACTTTTCCAGGACATGATACATACTGACTTTTTAGTTGAAGTTTTAAAAACAGTATCATTTTTAGTCTTTGCATGATTACAAGAGTAGTGCTGGGCTGGCAAGATAGCTCAGCAGACTAAGCGCCTGCTTAGGCAAGCACTGGGACCGGGGTTCAATCCCTGGCACCACAGTCTGCTCTGGCCCAACCCCTGGGCATGCTGAGCCCATATCACCAAGACTGGGAGTGGTGGAACACACCTGTAATGTATGTGGGGAGGCTTGAGAGGCTGAAAACAGGGGGATCACTATGAGTCTGAGCTGCGTAGTGAGATCCTGTATCAAATACATAAAAAAGAGTAGTGCATATTTGTTATAGAAGCTGAAAAACATACAAAAACTCAAAAGTAAGGTAAAATGAGGTATAATCCCATCATCCAGCCCCCCCCCCAAAGATTCTGAAGCTACCTACAGAAATTTAGGAAAAAAGCAATGAACCAACCAATAATCATACTTTCTTTCATTACAGAGAAGAGGTGAAGAATCTAGTGAAATGGAGCAGATTTCAATTATTGAGAGGTTCCCTTACCCCTTCCAGGTGGGTTATGTTTCCATTTCAACTCTGAAAAGAACCCTGAAATGTAGTTACTAAGGTAGGGATGGAGTATATGGTAGAGGTAAAGCTACAAGGTCCCAGTGAACAGAAGATGAAATGAACAAGGGAGCTGTTTCTGAACCAGGCCTATTTTGCCTGCTGAATAGTATGTGAAGCCCTGAAACAATGGATTCTGTAAGAGAAAAACTTTATTCCCAAACATGGTGGCTAAGCATTATTATCATGACCCATAAGAGGTTTTATCTACAGCAAAGGTAGTAGTGTGAGGCTATTGTAGTCAGCCTTGGGACTTCCAGAATTAGTGATTTTTTGTTGTTGTTGTAAAGCTAAATGTTTTAATTAAATTTTTAATTTTTAGTTTTAACGGTTTAGGTATGTGTTTGTGATAATATATATATTTGTATATATATATATATATATATATATATATATATATATTTCATCATTTTATACCTTATCTTCCCTCTCCCTAGAACTAGTAATTTTTTTTTGTGGAGCCAGGGATTGAACTCCAGCCCTTACACTTGCCAGGCAAGCACATATTCAACTGAGCTATCTCTCCAGCTCCTAGAACTAGTGATTTTTAAAGTTTAGTAAAAGCAGATAACTAAGGGGAACATACAGGCTTAGAACCAGAGAAATAAAAGGTACAAACGATTAGTTTCTGTACATCAGAATAGGCCCCAGTGAAGTTTATTGACTGGTAATTATCAAAGTTGGGGTTGTGTTTTACAGAGTCCTGGACAAGGAAGTGTTATTCTTCTGGTAGTTACATTCCTGAGAATGGTTCTGGGAGTCCTTGACAGTTACTTTTCTGAGCTGTGAAAGATATATATATATATATATATATATATATATTTGTAAGTGCTTCTTTTGGTAAGCAACCCAGCACATGGTTGTGCCTATCCTAGTAAGGGTTCCACTAGACCAATATATGTGGCTGGCAGTGCTGAGCATGTTTGTTTTTCTATTTTTCTAACCAGAGTAGTTTCTTTTCCCTTCAGTACCTCAAAAATAATATGTCAAAGCACCACGTTTATTATGGTATTTCTTGTTTATGACAGCTGCATTGAGAAAGATGCTTGCTTATTGAGTGTTTCTTTTCCTTTTCATTCTGCCTATAAGACTAATGGTGGTCATCTGTGTTTTAAAGACAGAAAGAGGGAGAGAAGGAGCAGTATTAGGAAGTTGAATATGGGGAAGGACTGTTTAGACTTGTGAATAAACCTAAATTCTATTCTAGTCTGAAACAGCTAAAGACTCAGTTGCATAGGCATCTATTAAGTAGATGCAGGGTAAGCCATAAAGAAAAGCAAGCTAATGTCCTGAGAACTCTGTAGGCCACGTGCTGTGAATACAGCAGCCTCTGCAAAAGTGAAAGGCAGTCAAGGAAGAGGAAAGTCTCTGAGGAGGGGACTTTCTGTCATGGATATGATCACAGCAAGACTAACAAGCAACAAGAAAAATGTACAAGGATCTTGGTCATGTTCCTGACTATTACAAAACCTGTGAAGGAACAATATCTTTGATGTATATTTTACTACCATTGTCTTCAACAAAATGATGTTAAACTGTGGGTGTGGATAATGCTAAATAGTGGATAACTCATAATTGATTTATATTTGAATTTAGAATCCATTATGTGATATCTATTAACTCTCTGAGGCTTTAGACCAAGTCACACATCTTCTTAATATTTACATGATGTCTCAAGCATGGTGAATATTTAAAAACTACTCAATGGTTTAATTTTGGGCTGAATATATACTTTTCTCTTTCTAAAGTAAGTTTGTGGCCCACATTTGGTTTATATTGGTTTGTCCTGCCAGTGGGAAACTACTAGGTATAAGGATTACCCATAAATTACAACTTTGCTCCATGTTACCCAAGTGAGTAACCCATATGTATTTATCAAGACTTAAGTTATATAGATCACTGCTTCAATTGTCTTCAATATTATAAATTCAGAATTCAATTTTCTTCAGTACTTTAAACTCAGTTATAATAATAACACAATAAAATATGATCTATTTTTGTTGGAGAAATAAAAGCCCTACCTCTACCAAAGAGTAAGGGAAACATTATGGACTAAATATACACACAAGCTGAAACAAAAGTGAAGAGGACCTAAGAGTATTCAAAGAAGGAAGCACTTCTAAGCCTTATATTCTTAAATATAAATAGTTCAGAAAAGCTTCAGGTAGTTCCCACAACCTCTCAGCACCACTGCCTTTTTTTCTATAATCATACACAAAGTCATATCAATACATACATTGCTTTAGAGTCTCTCTTATTTTCTTCTGAATGTAAACTACTAAAGTTTGTGTGTTCACTACTGCAGGTTGTATATGATGAAGGGCCTCTCTATGTCTTCTCCCCAACTGAAGAACTGAGAAAGCGTTGGATCCACCAGCTCAAAAATGGTGAGAATTATTTGGAAAATGAACTAATTTGTAAGGGGAAAAGGAAAGGAAGTGTCTTACTTGTTTTCATTGCTGGGACAAAATATCCAACAGTTAAAAAGGGAAAGGTTTATTTAGGCCAGGTTGTAGGGGTTTCAGTCCATGGTCAGCTGGCTCGAAGGCAGGTTGGCACATGACAGAGGAACAACAGTTCATGGCCAGGGAAAACAGTAAAAGCAACAAGAGAGGGCCAGAAGTCTCTCAGTCCCTTATATTGTGTGCAGGCTCCTTGCTCTGGGGGTTGGGGAGTGTAACACTCACACCCATAATCCCAGCACTGGACCATGACAAATTCTAGATTCTGCTAGTTATGAAAAGCCTGCCTCTGTGACTGCATGGGGACTTTGGGGGACATCTAGACACAAATCATAACAGGAAAGGGGAGAGAGGGAGAGAGGGAGAGGGAGAGAGAGAAAGACAGAGAGAGAGAAAGAGAGAGAGAGAGAAAAGAAAAGAAAGAAAGCTAGGGAGGAAGAAAGAATCAGAGGGAGGCGAGAGATAGAGGAAAGAGGAAAGAAGGGAGTGAGGGAAAATGACAGAAAAAGTATTGTATTTTGCCTCACTAGTGGTGATATGGGCCGGCGAGATAGCTCAGTGGACTAAGCGCCTGCTTTGGCAAGCTTAGAGACCAGGGTTTGACCCCTGGTCCCACACACCAGGCCGGCCTTCCCTGCAGGGTGCACTAAACCAACAAACAAGTCCGGGCGTGGTGGTGCAGGCCTGTAATCCCAGCACTGAGGAGGCTGAAAACAGGAGGATCACTATGAGTGAGACCCTGTACCAAATACATAAATTAAAACAATAATTTTAGGGGCCAGCCAGCTAGTTCAGTGGGGTTCGATCCCCAGCGTGCTGTGCTGACCCCGCCCCCAGTGTGGGCTGAGATCGTGATTAAGACTGGGCATGGTGGCATGCGCCTGTAATCCCAGCGCTTGGGAGGCTGAAAACAAGAGGATCACTATGAGTCCCATCTGTGTCGTGAGACCCTGTAGACCTTGTACTAAATACATTAAAAAAGTAGTAGTAATATGGTTTAGTATTTGATTATATAAACAAAAGATAACACATTAGACAAAGAGTTTCAACTCAATTCCACTATCATCTAGCACAATTGTGGGCCCCATTCTTTATACCAATTACAAAGGCGGTGTTTTTTTCAAAGATGAGGCATTGTTTAGAATCTGAAGTATGAAATAACTAGCTCCAAAATATTAAATAAATGACATATGAGAATGCTTGAAATCAAAGAAACATATCATTTATAAGCTGAGTGACTTCTTGCAAACAGGCCAATGAATTTCTTTAAGGGTCAGCTCTTTCTGAATGATAATAACAATAATGCCTGCTGAACATACATCCAGAGTTACCCTAAAAGTCAGATGAGCAGCTGAGGTTATAGCTCAGTTCAGTGTCTAGCACATACAAAAAGAGATAAATGAGTCAATAATGTATGAGAAAGTACACATAAAGTACATGGAACACCACATAGTACCATGTAAGAAAACACTGTATATTTCTTCATTGTAGATAAACATTTCCCAAGGAACTACTTTTTGTCCCTTGCTTTATGAAGACTTAAAGTTGAACACTGTTTCAGCATTTAACATAGAAAATACAATGTTTTAAGATAAACAGTAAAGGACAGATATAGATACAGATATATAGATATATAGATATAGTGACTAAAAGATAGAAGATTAGCTAGATGAGTTGACATCAGGAAAGGCTGCCTAGAGAAACAGGAAGGAGGGCAGCCTGATAACAGCATGGTTGAGTTATTGCATGACAGCCCTTTTTGTGTATTTAGCAAGGGTCTGCAGGGTCTCAGTGCACAGATCCGACTTCTAGTGATCCTCCTGTTTTCAGCCTCTCAAGTGCTGGGATTACAGGCGCGCACCCCCACGCCCAGTCTCAGTTGCCATCTCAGCACACCCCAGGGGGGAGGCAGGCAAACCATGCCCCACCAGAGATCAAACTCAGTTCCCTATGCCTGCCTAAGCAAGCAATTTAGTCCTCTGAGCTATCTGGCTGGCCCTGACAGCCCTTTGTCTTAATAAACATTTAGATTGTGATGCTCATTAGTTGGATGACTACCAGGCTTGTTCACTCCCTTGAAAGCAAGTATTATTGGTGCAAATTAAAATTACTAAGTCTATCAAACTGAAAGAGGAAAGGAAGAAGAAAAGGGTCATTTATTGAATTTTCACTATGTGCAAGACAGTAAGCTAAATGCCTTATAGTTTCTAACTCGCATAATTTTTATGACTTGGGCTAAAACAGAAATGACACCTAGTGAACATTTATTAGGCAACAGATTCTGTTCCAAGTGATTCAAATGTTTTAACTCACTTAATCCTCACAATAATTTTATGAAGTATGTATCATTCCCCTATTCACAGATGAAGAAACTGAGACTCAAAGAGGTCACCTAACTTGCTCCTGGGCACATTGCTACTGAGTAGAGGAACCTGAATTCTTACCACATCCCTGTATGTGATGAGCCTAAACTCATGGCATAGTTTTATTTTGCTTGCTTTCCAAGGTCATGAATTTCACCTGTAGATGGCTGCAAAATATTCTACAGCAAAGTTACATTGAGTATTACAAATATTGTCCTGCACGACACATTTTATTTTGTTGTTGACATTTATTGAGTTAGTGGGCCTGCTTTAACTGAGGATAAACAATGAGCCAACTCCAATAGTGCTTATTATGATCCATGATTTCTCTAAATTCTTCATACATATTAACTCACTCATTCTTCATATTAACCACAGGAGGCAGTTATTTTCATCACTCTCCGTTTACAGATAAGAAAGCTGGGTTGCAAAATGGTTAAGTAATTTGCCCAGAGACAATTAGAAAATGGCACAGTTAAGCTTTGAATTAAGGTTCCAGACCCTGTGCTCGAACAAATGTGTCACTTCCAAGCCAGATAAATATTCCTAGAGGGTGAGATAGGAGTTCCAGAAGGCGCATTTGTCCTTCTTTGGTTCCCTTCACAGTACTTTGTACACAGAAAGGGATCAATAAATAGTTGTGTTAATTGATTTTTTTTTTCTGTGGGAGTAAACAACCACTACCAACTTGGATACCACATTGATGGATGGATAAGAATCAGTATGGAATTAGGAGAAAGTGAGCCCGACAGGCTGAGAAAGAAGCAGGAAAGTAGGGCCGGCCATGTAGTTCAGTGGATTGAAGCGCCTGCAAGCAGGCATGGGGGGGGGCGGGGTTCGATCCCCTGGGCCTGTAGTGCAGGTCCCACCCCCAGGGCGCGCTGAGCCAGCAATTGAGACTGGGAGTGGTGGCGCGCACCTGTAATCCCAGCTTTGGGGAGGCTGAACACAGGTGGATCACTACAAGTCTGATCTAGTAGTGAGACCCTGAACACCCTGCAGACCCTTCCCTAAAATACAATACAATAATAATAACCAAGGATACAGAGATATAGCCTGTCAGCCTGGTTTATTAGCTCAGTTGTTAGCCTTACCACCTATTGGTTATGAACTGGTATTAATGTTCCTTAACTAGGTAAGATTACCATAGGATAAAAATAAACTGAAGTAGAAACCCTATCACTTCATTGTGGCCATTATGTGAGGAGATAGTGTGGGCAGGTGCAGTTTTGCCTTCTCTTCCCTTCTGTCTCATGGAAAGCATTTCTTCTGGTAGTTCCATCTGGGTGTATTTCTTGTCATATCTGCCTGGACTGACCACAGGAAGCAGAAAGTAGGTACCTACTACCAAGTAGCGTGAGAGACTTAGATGAAGTCCCTAACTGTCCCAGGATAGCCCCAAATGCTGGCAGTGCTAAAAGTGAGCTACACTAGGAACCACTGAACCTCACTGAGTGAATCTTTCCTCCCTGTTGGGTAAAATGCAACTCCTGGAAATTACTAAGATGAAAAAGTAATTTCATCAGAATGTTGATTACATCTGCAGGCATATTGACCAGACATGAGGTAGCTTTCAGAGGTGCCAGATCTGAGTGAGGGTTAAACAATTGTGGACAAATGCAGCTAACTGTATATTATAAATATGTTTACATATCACATATAAGTCACGCCTCAACTTTATTTTTTGAATTTTTAATTTTATTGGTATGTTTCAGATATACATAATAACATTCATCACAGGACATTTGTACCTGTACGTGACATACCTTGCTTCCTTTTTCCCCATTCCTCTCTGCTTATTTCAACCCCTCTTCCCTGCCTCATTTACAGAATCTTTGTTTCTTTTTTCTTCCATTTTGTCTCTTCTTTCTTTTTCCCCTCCTCCTCACTTATTCCCCTTCTCATTTGAACATTTTCTATTTCACAATATCTATTATGCATTCTGAGCTTTATTCATACTTTTAGTTTTCCAATGCAGAGAAATAATGCAATATTTAAACATGTGTGTCCAATTTATTTCACTTACCAGTGTGGCCTCAGAGTGCAGTCATTTACTTGGAAATGTCTCACGCTTATTTTTTTTTATATTCCTCAATTTTAAAATTAGGGCTTCAGGTATCCCGTATTCAGCTGCCTTACTTTCTCAGTGGCATTTTTCACGAAAGGTTACACACTCTTTAACCACAGACCATCCTTCTATTTCCTTCAACATGGTAATGGGCACTTACATTTTACAACACCACAAGCAACTGAGCCCCTCACCCATGGTAAGCATGTACTCTACCACTTAACTACACCTCAGTCCTATATTCATTCTGAATCTTTGTTTGGTCAAGATCAATTGTCTATCCTAATTGCAACATCAGAAAAAAGAAAAAGTCTGATCACACCAAAATGAATGGGAAAATAGCTTTGGCAAAACTGCAATAAGCAATATGGTAAGGAATGTTCTATGCATGCCTGAAACAGAATTTTAGACATTAGTTTGATAAACATGAATAGCAAAGACCAGTCCAACAAGCTCTTAGAGAATGTGTACCAACTATAACCACTTCCCAGGTAATGTACTTGTACATGGGTGAGGTAGTCTTTCCTAGTCTCTCCTATATGGACACCCTGCTTTTGCAATACTCTTCTAAAAGCTGGAAATACCATCTCTAGATTAGTAGTAAAATACCTTCAAAAACAAGTATCATAAATATTATTTGCTTTGTAAGAAGACTGCAATGGCTACTGGGGAAAACATAGATAAGACTTCTACGTTTCTGGAACTACCAGAACTCTTATCATGTTCACTGGAGATACTCATCATGACAAACTACTGAAGACAACTGCACAGGAAGTGTTGGGAGTCAGAGCACACTGGCAGGCAGGCCAGTCATGGAAACCATCTGGCTCATGTTTTGCTTTCCTTTAGAGTGGCTGAGGAGGGGCTGTTATTTGAAGATTACCAGTAAGCTCAAAGTGGCAAACATGGAGATGGTGGACTCCTCTGCCTGTCAGATGTGATCTCTCTTTATTTTTTCCTATTCCAGTAATCCGGTACAACAGTGATCTGGTCCAGAAGTACCACCCTTGCTTTTGGATTGACGGGCAGTATCTCTGCTGTTCGCAGACAGCCAAAAATGCCATGGGCTGCCAAATTTTGGAGAACAGGAATGGAAGTAAGATAACAAGGAGTATAATTTCTTCCTCTGTGTATGTGTGTGTTTATAGAGATTGAATCCAGGCTCTTGCGTGTGCTAGGCATGCACTCTGTCACTGAGCTACATCCACGGCCCAATTTCCTCCTCCTTTGACTCTATTTCCATCACACTCCAAACGGTCTGTCAAACTCAGTGACATAGTATAAGTTACTATTTTGGCTACTTCACAAGTGGACCTGGAGGAGGGGATTAGTGGCAGCTGAAGTCCAGATACATTTCTTCTCTTCTCTTTCTTTTCTTTTTTTTTTGTACTGGGGATTGAACCGAGGACCTTGCACTTGCCAGGCAGGCGTGTAAGCCACTGAGCTATCTCCCCAGCCAGGCACCTTTTCTAATTTGCCAAAAGGCACTATGCCCAAGATCAAAGGCCTTGACAAGACTTGCTCCTGTGCCCTTTCCCAAATGCCTTCCACATCATCTCTGGCTTCTCATTTTGCAGGCTTAAAACCTGGGAGTTCTCACAGAAAGACAAAGAAGCCTCTTCCCCCTACACCGGAGGAGGACCAGGTACCTGGAGAAAATCAAACTGTGTACTGCTGCTACTTAAGTGGAAATTTACAGTTAAATTTTGAAAACACTAAGGTTTTAGAATTCCTTGGAATTTGGAAGTGTTAACTGCTGCTCTTGTTGAGACAGGGGATCTGTCATACTCCTGTGGACTTCCTGTTCATGAAAAGATAGCGAGCTATTAGGTAGCTCTTAGAAACTACTTAACCCAATCACCTGTTTGAAACATTTTTAATGAAAATGGTTTTTATATTTTTAGTGAAGCATACTGTCAAACTTATAGTAATAATCCCCGGGTCCTGGTAGTTTCCTGTAGACAAACTATGTCAAAATTTTTGAGAGTAAGACCATGTACAGCCAAGGACGGGAAAGCTGCTTTAGTACTAACTAGTACATGGAGCTAGTAAAGGGCTCTGAACCTTAATTTCCTTCTTTATAAAATGATCATCATAATATGTCCTACTTTAGTAAAGTTGAAAGAATTTAGCACTGAACTCCCATATCCTCAACTCCTAGATTGCACCAATAGCATTTCACTTTCAAACTTGATGTTTTCAGGTCCAGAAAGCCCTTTATCATATATTGTAAGTAGGACATATTATGATGATCATTTTATAAAGAAGGAAATTAAGGTTCAGAGCCCTTTACTAGCTCCATTACTAGTTAGTACTAAAGCAGCTTTCCCGTCCTTGGCTGTACATGGTTAATATGTCCTACTTTAGTAAAGTTGAAAGAATTTAGCACTGAACTCCCATATCCTCAACTCCTAGATTGCACCAATAGCATTTCACTTTCAAACTTGATGTTTTCAGGTCCAGAAAGCCCTTTATCATATATTGTAAGTAGGACATATTATGATGATCATTTTATAAAGAAGGAAATTAAGGTTCAGAGCCCTTTACTAGCTCCATTACTAGTTAGTACTAAAGCAGCTTTCCCGTCCTTGGCTGTACATGGTCTTACTCTCAAAAATTTTGACATAGTTTGTCTACAGGAAACTACCAGGACCCTGGGATTATTAAATGTTCACTAGGTGATGTTCATGTGTACCACAGGTTGAGAATCTTGGCACAGATACTTAAAAATGGTTGCTGAATGAATGCATAGTAAAGCTTTTATTATACCTGATTGGGACTAGAATGGTGTCTTCATACACCAGAGTTGAAGAAAGCTTGATGGATGAATAGCCAGCCCTCCCCTCTATTTTTTCTGATGACTACACAGATCTTGAAAAAGCCACTGCCTCCTGAGCCAACAGCAGCACCAGTCTCTGCAAGTGAGCTGAAAAAGGTAGTAGCTCTTTATGATTACATGCCAATGAATGCAAATGACCTACAGCTGCAGAAGGGAGATGAGTATTTCATCCTTGAAGAGACCAACCTACCATGGTGGAGAGCACGAGATAAAAATGGGTGAGTCCATGCCAGCCTTTTCTGAATTTATGCCTGCCTACTGTACACTTGTGCAAACTGCTGCAGAAAAGCTCTCCATGCTCAGTATCCTATTCAGAGATTGTTCTTCGCACACCAAAGTGAATATATTCCAGTGCATATTTCTCAGTGTGAAGCTCTGCATGTGGCCTCTGTCATCTCAGAATCTCTGTTGTAATTTGTCATGTGCATATAACCAGTGCCACATGTTCAGGAGTTGTGCCCTTCACTGGCCTAATCAGATGCGTTTCTCTTTGAGGGAGGAGATATATAGATATAGAGATACCAATATGTATCTAGATACATCTTGACATATCTGTCTATATCTTTGAGATTGATTCTGAGCACAGGGACATGAGCATATGCATCTGTCTCCTCAGGATGGGGAAATGCTCTATGATCTGTCACATTGTCTCCTCTACAGGCAAGAAGGCTACATCCCTAGTAACTATGTTACTGAGGCAGAAGACTCCATAGAAATGTATGAGTGAGTATGCTTGTTCCCAACACAAATCTTTCAGAGGAACAAACTATACTATATACTATTTTATACTTTCAACAATTTTTTTATTTTAAAATACATATTAAAGCTAGTGTTGACTGGGTAGAGTTTGGCTACCACCTTAAGGTAGGGCTGATGCCTTATTGGAATCCCAAATACCGTCTGCTTGTGAGTGCTGGAGAAGGTTCCCTCTTTCCAAATCCAGAAGAATCATACTCAAAGGAGACACAACCTGATGGGACCATTTGGAAGGATAAAAATTCCAAACATATACCCATGTCTTTCTCTCCCTTATTATAAATGTGGATTATCCTAGAGGGTCCCAGTCCTAGACTTCTTCTCTGTGAAGTCTGAAGCCTCTCTGTACCTCAACTTTCCATTTCTTTTTCTTTCTTTTATTTTGGTGGAACCAGGGATTGAACTCAAGCCCTTGTGCTTGCCAAGGAAGCGCTTATTCCACTGAGCCATCTCCCTTGCCCCTTCAGCTTTCCATTTCTATGAATCTTCACTGCCACTCTGATCTTGAGAAGGGATGCTATGTGCTATATGCAAAGTAAACCCTCCATAGACAAATAAGGTTTGGGCTATCTGCAGGAATCAGGGATGAGGATAATCCCTGCTTGGTGATCTAACTTCCCACCTACTATGGTCTAAGAAGCATACAAGCACTCTCTCTTCACAGGTGGTATTCCAAACACATGACTCGGAGTCAAGCTGAGCAGTTACTAAAACAAGAGGTGAGTGTGGGGACACAGCAAGTAGTACCCCTTGTGCACAATAAGCAAGGATCCTGAACTGAGACCTGTTTTACTTCGGGCAAGAAAGTGTCAAGCACTTCTTCATCTGGAGTCCCAGTTGCATTTTTCAGTATTAAAATCAAGAAAGTGACAGCTCGAGCATGGAACATGACAGAAAAATGAGGGCTTGTCTATTTTCCCTCAGGTGTGGGCAGACGGGATACTGATGCGGGCAGCACTCCCTCCTACAATCAGGCTCTTTTTCATTGTTTCAGGGTAAAGAAGGAGGTTTCATTGTCAGAGACTCCAGCAAAGCTGGAAAATATACTGTTTCTGTGTTTGCTAAATCTACCGGGTGAGTGCTGCTTTTCCCAGGTCCTGGAGTCAAAGGACAGGCATTCCCTCCTAAGAGCTCCTGAATGATAGGTCCCTTTCTCCTTCTATCCCTCAGACTTTTTTTTACACTACTAGGGATTGAACCCAGAGTTTTTGCCCTGAAATACATCTTTAGCCCCTTTTTATTTTCTGGTTTGAGACAGGGTCTCACTAAAATACCAAATTGTCCAATCTGGGCTCAAATCTGAAATCATCCTGCCTCAGGTACCCACAGCTCTGAGATTATAGGTGTGCACCACATCCAGCTTCCTCTGTCCCTTAAACTCAAAATTCATCTCACTTCATTTTTTGGTTCATGAAGATTCTTGTACCCAAGTTACTGACTAAGCGTGCACTTCTTCAGGGACCCTCAAGGGGTGATTCGCCATTATGTTGTGTGCTCAACACCTCAAAGCCAGTATTATCTGGCTGAGAAACACCTTTTCAGCACCATTCCAGAGCTCATTAACTATCATCAGCATAACTCTGCAGGTGAGTACCAGGGGCAAGAGAAAAATTTGCAAACACCAAGAGAACCAATTTAAGATGAAGCAGTAAAGGAAAAATATGCTGCATCACCGTGTGAATTAGCTGTAAAAGTACCTGCTTCTGCTCATGGTCATGACTCTAGCTAAGCAGCCTCTAAGCTTTATGCCCAAGAGGACTAGCTTATTATTTGGTTATTAATTCTCAGTGCTAAGGCCTAGAAGAGGCTAGTGACTAATCAGCAAATAGTCATTAGCAATTGCTCATGTTGCTACTGTATACTTAGCAGGTTCCTTGATCTCAGAGAAAACAGGAAAATTCTAAGATCAGATCCTTATTGTCAAAGAATATTCAGGTTAGACAATATCAGAGGACAGTTTCTAAGCAGTGTAGAAATTCTAAAAACTGAAAGATTGATGGGAACATAAATATAAAAGAAAATCTTTATTGAAAGGTAGGCTGCAAACTAAGCATGGCCTGTGATATGGGAATATATTCAGTAAAGGGTACATTTCATTTAGTGTTTTCTCCATTGCATCTGAAAACTGTTTTGTGAGAGGAGAACTTTCCAGAAAAATGTGGATTCATGTACTCGAAAGCTGCATACTGGAAGTATGAGGCTTTAAGTGTAGATACATGACGCATCATGACCCCTCTGTATGTTTCAGGACTCATATCCAGGTTGAAATATCCAGTATCTCAACAAAACAAGAATGCACCTTCCACTGCAGGCTTGGGCTATGGTAACTACTTGATTGTCTGGGATAGGGTAAACTGGCCAATTGAAAGGACTTCTTTTGAAGACCTTGCCTTAAGGAGTGCCCTTTGTAGTATGTGCTTTTGCACCAGCTGCCTCAAGCAAAGTTGAGAGCCAAGCAAGTTATTTAATGATTTTGTCCCTCTAGTGGCTACTACTGGGACTGCAAAAACAGATTCGCAAAAAGATTTGTTTAGGATTTTTCTGTTATTTTTTATTGTGGTAAAAGGTTTCAGCATTAATCTTGAGTTTAGCTATAGATGTTACATAATAATAAAGGGATTGTAGGAGGTTTTTTTAGCCTCTCTTTTTTTTTAGTCTGTCTTCTTGCCTATGACCAACTTGAACCTAAAGTTCCCAGGTTCTTCCAACCAGTAACCTGTTGTTCTGATATTTACTTGAGTAAAGATAGATTAGGGCCCCTGAGAATTTCCCCCATACAGATTTTCCTAGTTCTACTGTAGATGGATTTTTCTCTATCAGAGGTATTATATGTACATGTCACCCTAAAATATGACATTAAGACTTTGTTATTAGGATCATGGGAAATCGATCCAAAGGACCTGACCTTCTTGAAGGAACTTGGGACTGGACAATTTGGGGTAGTGAAATATGGTAAATGGAGAGGCCAGTATGACGTGGCCATCAAGATGATCAGAGAAGGCTCCATGTCTGAGGATGAGTTCATTGAAGAAGCCAAAGTCATGATGTGAGTTACAATCCAAACTCAACAACTCAGTCCAGTCAATGGTATCTAGGAATAACCAGGACAACCCAATGTGGCCTAAGGTGACTTAGAGAAATTTGGGATCAGAGCCTGAGGTTAACTTTTAATTGGCGAGAGTCCTAATTGCTGCAGTCATTTCATTGCCTTACATACTCATTGAGAATACTGTTGATCATGGGTATGTACCATCTCAGTAGCATTTGAGGGGTAGATGTGCAGCATGAGACTTACGAAAGAAAGAATGATTCCAATTTAGCCTTAGTATTCTTTCAGTCCTAGACTTGTTTCAGTTGTGAAGCTCCAAAGCCCTGTTCACCCCCATATACTAGGCACCTTGGGGGTTTGTGGTGCAAAAGAAAAAGAAACTTGCTATCATGCTATTCTATATGATGTGCATCCTAGGCCAGTTCCCTCACCCCTTTGTATTTAGTGTGTAGAGCCAACGAGGAGGACTAGTTCTTGCCTCTCCTATAGGAATCTGTCCCATGAGAAGCTGGTGCAGTTGTACGGCGTCTGTACCAAACAGCGTCCAATCTTCATCATCACCGAGTACATGGCCAATGGCTGCCTCCTTAACTACCTGAGGGAGATGCGCCACCGTTTCCAGCCTCAGCAGCTACTGGAGATGTGCAAGGATGTCTGTGAGGCCATGGAGTACCTGGAGTCAAAGCAGTTCCTTCACCGAGACCTGGTGGGACCTCAGGATTGACTTGGGCTTGAGGGCCGAAGGGGTGGAAGTAGCAGTGGAGGTTAAGACACTGTTGCAGAGGGTTGCTGATGCCAGCATTTCAATCTTATCTAGAAAATACTAACAGGTGTACCTCTTCCCCCACTGGGGAGCCAGTCAAGCAGTTCTAACCTCAACACCATGAGGTCACTATGGTGAGAACTAAGAGCAGCTCCCTGTCACCCACAGGGAGACAGTGGGGCTATTCAGGGCCCATTTTGTATTTGGAACAGAAGGGAAATTCTGTGCTTCCTTGTAGGACTGCTTCGGGCACAGAGTGATCATTTAGTTATATCAGAGTCTGACTGGGGCCTGTGGGTACATTTGGCTCACGTGGTTTAAAAACTGGTTTGTAACATTTCACATTTGAGAAAAGCAACTGGAGGGCTGGGGAGATGGCTCAGTGGAATAAGCACTTGTCTGGCAAGCTCAGGGCCCTGACTTCAATCCCCAGTTCCTCAAAAAAAAGAAAAGCAACTGGAATTTCTAGCTTCTCTAGAAAAGGAAGAGAGCGGAACAGTGAGCCCACATTCTTACAGACCAATGAATAATTACCTGGAGCCAGAGTGGGCTGTTCTCTTTCATTCTTGCAATTTCCACCCATCATGCTTCACTCTCACTGTGGCTCCTGGAGGCACCTGAGTTTGTGGCTGTTTCTTTCTTTTTTTTTAAGCAGAATTTTTTTTTTT